GGGGCAAAAAACGGGGGAGGATGGGACCCCCGGGCGATGCCCCGCCGCCCCGCGCTGGCCGCCCCGAGGATGGGCGATGGGCCGGTGAGCGCCGGCGCGGCGGCACAGGATGGGGGCCCCCCCGCCCGCCCCCGGGGGCCGGGAGGAGGATGGAGCCCTCCCTGCCCGCTCCGTGGGCCTGGAACGGCTCTAGGACGGCACGGGGGCTCCAGCCCTCCCCGGGCCCCATGCCCCCCAACGGCACGGCCGACGGCAAACCCAAAGACGTGGCCTCCAAATCGGTGGGGCTTTTCTTCATGCTGCTCATCGACCTGACGGCCATCGTGGGCAACGCCGCCGTCATGACCGTCATCGTGAAGACGCCGGCGTTGCGCAAGTTCGTCTTCGTCTTCCACCTCTGCCTGGTGGACTTTTTGGCCGCCCTCACCCTGATGCCGCTGGAGATGCTCTCCGGCTCGGCCGTCTTCGACAGCCCGGTTTTCGGCGAGGCCATGTGCCGCGTTTACTTGTTCCTCAGTGTCTGCTTCATCAGCATGTGCATCCTCTCCATCTCCACCATCAACGTGGAGCGTTACTACTACGTGGTGCACCCCATGCGCTACGAGGTGAGGATGACGGTGGGGCTGGTGGCCTGCGTCCTTGTCGGCGTCTGGCTCAAAGCCGTGGCCACCTCCCTCGTCCCCGTGCTGGGCTGGTTGTCCCCCGACCGCCCGCCGGTGCCCGCCAGTCGCGGCTGCTCCTTGCAATGGAGCCGCAGTCCCTACTGCAAGTTCTTCGTCATCTTCTTTGCCGCCTTCTACTTCCTCCTGCCCCTCCTCATCATCGTGGTGGTCTACTGCAGCATGTTCAAGGTGGCGCGGGTGGCCGCCATGCACCACGGCCCCCTCCCCACCTGGATGGAGACGCCGCGGCGTCGCTCCGAGTCGCTCAGCAGCCGTTCCACCATGGTCACCACCTCAGGAGCCCCTCGTACCACCCCGCAGAGGACGTTTGGGGGAGGCAAGGCAGCCGCCATCCTGCTGGCCGTGGGGGGCCAATTCCTCTTCTGCTGGTTGCCCTACTTCTCCTTCCACCTCTACACCGCCCTGAGCGCCCAACCCTTGGTGGGGCCGGCGGCCGAGACCGTGGTCACTTGGCTCGGTTACTTCTGCTTTACCTCCAACCCTTTCTTCTACGGGTGCCTCAACCGGCAGATCCGGGGCGAGCTGGGCCGGCTCCTCACTTGTTTCTTCAAGCAGCCGCCCGAGGAGGACCTGAGGTTGCCCAGCCGGGAGGGCTCCATCGAGGAGAACTTCCTCCAGTTCCTCCAGGGCACCGGTTGTCCCGCCGAGCCCCGGCCCCGTACCCCCAGCCCCAAGCGGGACCAGCTCCCCGTCGATTTTCGCATCCCGGGGCAGATCGATGAGGACGCGGTCGAGGGGCCGGAGCGGCGTGGCGGGGACGGGGTCTACGTGCCGGTGGTCGCCTCTCCCAAACCGGAGCTGTAGCGTTTTTTTGGGGGTGGTGGTGGGAGGTTTGGGGGCAAACATGGCTGCAAGGGGAGAGCTGGTCTGAGTGTCTTGCTGGGGAGGGGGCTCGGGGGTCCCATGATGCTCGCCGGGAAGGGCCACCGGGTTTGGGGACGGCAGGTCGGGCGGGTGGCGGGTTGGTGGGCGCAGGTCGCATGCTGGGGACAAGCATGGGGGGCTTCGGGTTTTGGGGTGACTCCTCTCCTGGCATGGGGGGGGTCTCCTCCGAACGGGCGTCCCCTAGGTCCCCCCGGCCCCTGCGTGGCCCCGTACAGCCCAGGGGCTGGCAGCATGGTGTCCCCGGTCCCCTGTGTCCCCTGCAGAGGGGTGGCCCTGAGTCCCCTCCCCTGTCCCTCGCTGCAGGCCGCAGCTCTCCGGGGCCTGCCTTCCCCAGCGCCCCGGGCCCACCCCACAGCCGGGGGGCCGAGGCCTGGCCCTTTGGGGAGTGCGTGGGGCCGGAGCCCCCCCATCGTGGCGGGGATGGAGGGGG